GAACAGGAAGAATGACTTCACGGCCGGAAACATCTGAAGCAGCCTTGTAATACCTGGAAATAAGGACAGCCGTTGTGTCTTGCTGCGATAAAGGAGTTTTCTGGATTCAGTGCCAACAAACTCCCGGTGTTTCTTCAGTGTCGATATGTAAAGTTTTCCAGTAATGCTCTGGGGGTTAATTGCAAGTGTGTCTGCCCCAGGATGGGTGTTCCATGTGTATGCTGAGCAACCCAGACTAATGTCACCTTCTGCAGCAGCTTCTTCATACTTGCAAGCAGGCTCTTGCTTTCTTCTTCGCACTTGGAGCCCTCCGACATTCTACTACGAAAGTGACACCCTTCTCACCCCACCTCTCTCTCAGTTCCCTGGCCGCACGGTGCAAGTGTATCTGCAGTCTCAGTGGGTGTGCTTCGGGTCTCCGTTCGCTTTCGCTGCCACATACCCTCCTTCTGAGTTCTTACTGGAGCTGTTTGCACAGCACGCAATTGCAGCTCCACAGTAAGGTATGTTGCTCTCAAGGTCTTCCTGGACAGTGCCAACAGAGTGCAGGCCAAGCAGGAAGTTGACAATTGTGTCTCTCTTGGTTCAAGTGTTTGAACCCTTTCAGGCTCTCTCAATCAGAGGGTGACTTTTCCAGTAAGACAGATGATGCATGACAGTGTGAACCAGCAGAACACCTTCTACCGCCCTAACCGCCCCCTCCACTTTGCTGCCTGGCTTTAACAAAATAAGCTGTTAACTTTGCCGATGAACTCTTGTGTTCTTCAGAATCCACATGCGCCTGTAAATCGAGAGCCCCAGGGATGTCCGGCCAGCTCTGCATTTCAACCGCTCCGCTACTCAACCACCAGGAGGACACAGACATTCTCTCTCTAGCTCTTCGGGCCTTTGGCATTATCTTCAGCGGCAGGTCACTTCGTCCAGCTCAAAGTGCAACAAATCAACTTGAACCAACTCCGCCAAGCCCAAGAGGAATTCCACGAGTAACACACAGTGACATGCCCCCAGCCGGGGTTGCATGCATTGCTAAAAGACCACAAAGCCAGCAGCTCCCCCAGCCCAAGCAGATCATGCCCCAATACCAGCCCTTCCCCCTCCCCACCGGCCTGGCTGAACCATGGGCCCCACAGCTGGCCACATGTGGGCACCAAACTCCTTCTCCGGGGACCATGCAAGAGGGAGGACACACGTTCTTTCTTCCAGTGGAGTGGCAGAGGGGCAGGCGGGCTGATGTTTCCTGCGGAGCCACTGCACAGACCCCATGCCATGGCTTAGCTGCACACTGGGCACTTGTTCCACTCCAGGTTTCCTGCCTGGCCGAGACCAGCCAGAGCAGCCTAAAATTGCCTGTTCCCATCCACTGCTGCCAGGTCCCCAGCACCCCGCTGGGTTTGAATGGCATGGGCAGAGAGCCCAACGCCCAGCCCCAGCCTGTCCACTGGGCACAGGGGCAGCAGACTCTGGCTGGCTGGTGTGGGAGCAGGGGTGTCACAAGGGGCTCACGGTTCACTCGCGTGTCTGCCAGACCTAGCAGTGACAGTGCAGGTAAGTGACAGTCCTGCCTAGTGGTTGTCCCCTGGGTGGGAGCAGGGGAACCTGCACTCTCTCCACCCCACTGGGTTCTGACCCAGGGCCCTGTGAGGCTGCCTCAGCTGCTCACCTGGCTTTGTGTTATTCAGTCTGCTCCAGTCCAGGTCTCCTGTGGCCGCTGCATGACTCTGGGGAACGTTGCCTTCAGGCTTCTCAGTCCTGCCTCCTCCATTGGGAGCTCAGCCCCATCATGCACCAGCTCGATACAGCCGCTGCATGACTCTGGGGAACGTTGCTCAGTCCTGCCTCCTCCTTTGGGAGCTCAGCCCCATCACGCACCAGCTCGATACCGGCTCCATTCCAGTCCTCCCAGGGTGCGTCCTGATGCCCAGCTTGCCAGCCCTGGATTGAGCTGCTGGCTGCCTTTTAAACCTCCCTCCCCTGTGAGCGTGCCCTGCAAATGTGTGGGCGTGAAGCCTCTTTAGCCCTTCAGTGTTCCTTAACCCTATGATTGGGAGGTGTCGGGGCTCCTACACCCCCTCACAAGGCAACCACACCACACCCTGCTGCCCTCACTTCTGTGCTGCGGGGGGTGGGGATGCTGCTGCTCTCCAGTCACCCAGCTCACCAACACGGACATGTTCAGATTGCAAACGCTGCTTGGGTGGAGATTAGAAGCCAGCCTGGGAAACCCAAACACACGGTAACCCTGCTTCAGCCATTACCATTGGGAGCATCATCACCACCAGGAGCAGCACCCCCAGCTGCTGTCCACGAGCAGCTGGCTGGTCGGGTGTGGATGGAGCACGTGTCACGCGGTGTGTCCTGCTGGAAAGGGTGCTCTTGTGGTAGACAGAAGCAGGGTACCACTGTGCATTGGGGCTCCTGAATTGGATAGGGGCCATGGAGGGGCCCATGTACTGAGCTCTGCCCTGCAAACAGGACTTGGCATCCATCAACAGGGAAGGAGCTTCCCCGGGTGCTGCAAAGTCTGGCTGGTCATTGGCAGGTTCACCAGCACTGATGTGCATGGGGCTCCCTGCTACCATGGTCTTTAGAACCTCAGCTCTTTTGGGAAAGCGAAACTTGAACTTTTACTTCCCAGGCCATTGTGGCTATTAATGGTGGGGTGATTTCTCGGCCAGACGGGGTCCCAGTCCCCCTCTGCTTCTCTGCCTGATCAGCCCATGTCCTGGCCACGTGGCTAGAAGACAAGGGCCGTACAGCCCCCTCGCCCCGTGGTAATGCACGCCTTTTGAGAGAAGGAAGCTACCCGAGCACCCTCTCTGCTCCTCCCATGGTCCAAAGGACCCTTTCCCTCTCCTCTGTGATGGGAGACGGCCTCAGACTTTCACTGCAAATCCGGCTTTTCCTGCCTATTGCCCCTCGGAATCAGCACCTGCCGTCAGCACTTCAGCAGTGACTGGCCGTATCTGATCGCTGCTTGGGACCCGGAGGGGCCATTCCAGGACCGAAACTGGAGAGTCCAGAGCCACTCAAACGATCCACAACCCCAGCAATGCTCATTGAATACTGAGTCCAAAGCCACTCTGCCAGAAGGGCCCTCCGATTGGCCAGCAAGGGTTTGCCCCCCCCCTCCCCCCCGCTCACCACCTGCCTGTCCGGCAGCAGAGATGCCAGCTCCCTTCCTGAAGACAGGCCAGGCCTCTCCCTCCAGCGGGATTCATGCCTCTTTGCTCTTCACATCGTCAGACAAACAGTCCCCCCCCCCACGCACCAGCCCTGGGGCCATGAGCTAGCCAGTTCCCTGGGGCAGGCAGGGATGCACAGGGGCTTGGTTCGGACCACACCCAATCACATCACGTTCTCTGTGAGCCGTGAGGTGCGTCTGCCTCTCCTCTCCTGGCAAAGGCTCTCAGGTGAGTGATGCCCCGGATTGCTCCGCGTGGTGGCACGCAAGGCATGGGGGCTGAGGCTTGGTTTCAGCACGGCAAAGCTGGCTGAGGAATTTTCTGTGTGGAGCCAACCTCAGACTCAACCTTCAGTGCTGGGCGAAATCTTCTGGCCCAACTTTTTCCTCTCCAAAAACACAGAGTTGAGTTGGCTGAAACATTTCACAAATTTGGGCTGAATCTGTCTAATAAGCAACAAAACCCCCAAGCCCCAAATAAAAATTCCAGAACAAACCAAAACTTTCCACTGTGAGTTTACTTCACTTGTACGTTTGAACAAGTGAAAGAACCTTAGAACCGAAGTGTTTTGTTTCGGGCTGAACAAAACGTTTCGTTCAACTGGAAATTCCTTTTTTTAGCTATTTCACTTCTCTGGGAAAAATTCATTTGGGGACAACCTGAAATGACTCCCCTCCGCCCATCCCAGTTTTCACTCTCCTCAGCAGCCAGGCACTTGCAGCTCCAGCCACGTCAGGCCTGGCCGGGCTTCCTGCTGCCTCAGAGCCCACGCGTGGGAGGAGAGGGTGAGGGGCTCACCGGAGCATTAACGAGTCACTAGCCCAGCACAGGGCTTCACAGCCTGGTGACAGTCCCCCACCAACGCTGCCAATCAGGGGAGCCGCCAGAGGGGCTGCTGCACACACCCAGAAGGGGCAGGGCTGCAGGCAGCCAGCCCTCAGAGCTGCCAGGGGCTCCGGCGGCGATTTAAAAGGGCGGGGGCTCCGGCCACTGCTGCGATCACAGCGGTGGTGGCCGGGGGCTCCGGGCCCTTTCGAACTGCTGGGCCGGGGGCAGTTGCCCTGTCGCGGGCCTGCTGCCGCACGTGGCCACTTCTCTCCTGCAGCATCGCCCCCTCCGGTCTCTGTGCCCTGCAGCTTTCCAGCCTTGACAGGGCCCGGGGTCCCAAGGGAAGAATCAGGTTCTCCTGGCAGGCAGGAGTGCAAAGGGGCTGCTGACTGCACAGCTGGGTTGTGGGCTCAGGCACCGTGCGTGGGGAGAGGGGCAGAGCCACTGGGCGGCTTGGGGGGCAGAGCCATTCGCCTTTGGGAGGGAGGGAGGTTCTGCTGTCACTTGGTCTTGGCCCCATTCCCACAGGGGCCCACGCGCTTCCCTGGCCATGGCTTGAGGTGATGGAGCCCTTGCTCTGTAGCCCCCTGTGCTCCGTCAAGGGGGCTGACACCGGTGCAGCCTTCCTGCCTGTGCTGGAATTTCTCCTAACCTACACTGGCCTGGCTGAGAGCGGTCTCAGGCTGTGTGCCAGCAAAGCACTCTCCTTCAGAGAGGAGACCTTTTCCGGGGCTTCAGCTCAGCTGCCTCCTCCTCCAGGAGCAGAAAGTGCATGGCCTGAGATGCACGCTGGTCGTGCTTGGCCTCGAAAGCTGGTCCACAGCGGGCTGAAGGTGCAGAGGGTCCTAAACTCCCCCAACAGCTTTTCCTTGGCTCCCCCAGGTGGGGCCCCAGGTCCTGGCCTGGCCAGACCCATCTGGCTGCGACATGCAGCCTGGGCGCCAGGCTGTTTGGCAGGGGTGGCAGATGAATGGAGCAAAGCAGTCAGGCTGGAGGGTAGTAGGTTTAGTTTATTAGTCAACAGTGTCTGCTTACAGGGGTGCCGTACAAGCTGGCGGGTGCGAGGAGGATGCGGGGCCCTAACTCCTGGCTAGATGGCGGCTTCTCTCGCCTCCCCTTGCTGGGGTTGGGACGTTCTGCTAGCTCCCCAGAGCAGTCCAACATGAATGGGCACCGGTGCCACGTCCGAACGTCCGTGCAAAGAACAGGCAATTTTCACAGAAAATAAAGACATGGCCCGGGGGGGAGGGGGAGGAGAGAGACAGCAGTCGGGCTAACTAGCCACCTGCCAGGCAAGTCCCAGGGCCCAGCGCGCTAGAAGCAAGCAGACTGATGAAACACATGGCCCTGCAACTGTACATCAGAGCCAATTAGCATCCCCCAAGCTGTGCTAGTGACCGGGAGCTCAGTCCGGGCCCTCCATAGTCCCCTGCCCTGCCTGGGGGACTGACCCCCAGGGTGTCAGTGAGAGTCAGGGGAGGGGAGCTGGGCCTGCAGGCCACAGGTGTCACAGACCAGCCTGCGCCTGCAGCTTCGGCAAGGGGCAGTGCCACAGGGGGACCAGGGTGGCTCCTGCTGGGATGGCCCAGCTGCCCGGCTCTGCTGCCCCAAGGATTGTGAGATGAGGCCGAGGCCAGGCCCTGCTGGAGCGGTGAGGTCGGGCAGCTGTTTGGCCTCTGTGCTGCTCTGGCCGGGCAAAGGGCTGGAGAGCTGCAGGCTCCCTCAGCGAAGGAGCCCCCTTGGCAGGGCACAGGTGCAGGGAGGGGTCCTAACCAGAACAGCCAGCTCCCAAGCCGGCCCTTTGTGCAGCCCCAGGCCGGTTGGTCACTGCAGTGTCTACCCTCTGCCAGCGCGCTGGCCCTGAGCCCAGCCAGCCAATGGAGATCTGAGGCGGCTTTAAAACGGGCTGGGCCTGGGGCCCACATCACAGTGTTTCTCAGCCTTTTTGTACGAAGTGCCCTTTTCAAGCCCATGATCGGTACCGCAGCCCCACCGTTCTCAGACACACACGGGTTTGTTCTACCACTGCAACCCAGTTGTTCAAACAACTTAATGGGCGGGTGAGGAAATTTTGGGTGTAAAAAGTACAAAAATAATAAAACGCTGTAAAACGTAAAACAAAAATTCAGTTTTCTCCAAATTTCAGTTGTGTTGACGCACCCCCCAGACATCTCTCGAGTACCCCGAGGTACCCGGACCACTGGCTGAGAAACACTGCGCTAGCACAGTTAGCTCCTTCGCAGTGCTCAGCGCCACCCAGCGGCCCTCTGCTCTGCTTGCGTCTGCCTGCTGAGGGCCGAAGGGCAGCAGCCTGGCCCTGGGCACACGCAGCGATAACCCTGCCTGCTGAGGGCCAAAGGGCAGCAGCCTGGCCCTGGGCACGCGCAGCGATAACCCTGCCTGCTGAGGGCCAAAGGGCAGCAGCCTGGCCCTGGCTGGCCCCGGGCACGCGCAGCGTTAACCCTACCTTCGCACACCAGAGCAGTCTCTGTGGCCCTGCTCACGGGGGCAGGTTCCACTCCAGCTTGCTGTGACTTGGATGCAGAGCAGCAGAGACGGGGCAGCACAGACATCGCTGACGTCGGCTTCTTGGAGGGGACCGTGCCCTTTTGTGGACTCGCCCTGGGCAGGGGCCTGGGAATCAGGTCCGGAAGCTGAGCTACCCTGATGTGCACGTGCTGTGCTTGCTTTGCGGGGAAAAGACATGGCCCAGCCCGTGCATTCAGCGATGGGGACTCCAGTGAACACAGCCACCGAGCCTACGTCTGGCACAAGCAGGGACTAGCAGCATCCAGTGGCCTTCCAGCCCCACAGCAAGCCCCTCACCAAGCCATGCCCTGGCAGGTCTAGGGTGCTAGACCCTCGACTCCCTCGCACAGCTCTGAAACCAGCCCCGCACAATGCTCTGAGAGAGGCACAGCCTCTGCAGACAGGCCTCCCCGCAGGACCACGGCCGCAGGTGTGTGTCCAGGCAGACATCAGTGCACGGGGTGCAGTGCACGTGCGAAGGTACTCGCTGGCAGACTCCCGTAGTGCTACACCGAGGTGCTGTTCAGGCAGACGTGCACCGCTCCTCACACGTGAAAGCAATCATGCTCACACACACCGCCTCGTCGCACGCACACATGTTCTCGCGCGCACACGCAGAGGGAGGGCGCTCGAGTGTGAGGGAATTAGTCTGACACCCCAGAAAACCGAAGCTTAGTGAGCGGCCGGGGCTGCGCTAGGGTGTTAAATAGCAAATTAGTGTCTGTAATCCGCTGATGCTGAGCATTGAGGCTACAATAAATCTTGCGGCTGGGCTCAGCCAGCCGGCGGAGCAACGCGCTTCCCCTTGCTCGACAGGCAGTCCCGGCCCCACGCCCCACTCACGCCCGCCGCCAGACACGCCCGAGGCCAACGCGGCCGCCTGCTGAGGACATTCGGCAGCAGCGCTTCATCCTCAGGCGCTGATTTCCACAGCGTTGGCCTCCTCCTGCTCCCGGATGATCTGGACGCCCGCAGTCCTCATCATGCGCGTGGTGCTCCGGGAGCGCACTGGAGAGCCCGGGGACCTGGGCGGGGACTTGTGCAGTCGGGAGGAGGCCGGGGACCTGGCTGGGGAGCGGGGATATCTGCGAGCTGAGCGGATGGGAGGACCTGGGGACCTGCCAGGAGGAGAGCTGGAGTAGCTGGGCGGTCCTGGCTCGGCTGCGGCTCTGGTATCCGGAGGGGAATCCTCTTCTGCCTCTGGAGATTCCTTCAGGAAGACAAGAAGCAACCGGCCACAGTCAGGAGAAGCTGGCAAAGGCAGCAAAGACAGGGCATGCGGGCAGGCCTAAAATGCCAGTGAGAGGCAGGCCCCGCCCGAGTGCCCCTGCCGTATCTGGCCTCTGCCTTCCCCCTCCCAGCTCCCAACAGCAGCAGGGGTTACTGTGTGTGGGAGGGATCCCGATCCTTTCCCCTCCCCAGCACCAGGAGTCACGGGCAGCCTTTGACAGCAGGCCTTACAGTCGTTTTCTATCTGTCCAATGCTCCTGGAGGTGTGGACAGGCCCCGGCCACTGCAGAGTGGAGACAGATCATGCCAGAGGGCATTGTAAACAGCAACAGCCTGTTTGCTGCCTGTCAGGACCCCTGGGCGTCTGCAGGGGTTCCCAGGAGCTGCATGCTTGAAAGCTGCTGCAATGTGCTTTCTGATCTGTGGAGCTGCAGCTTATTGCACACAGAAAAGGATCAGACAGGCACTATTTGCTGTCCCTGCTCGCTGCGCTTCCCCCGGCCGCTCACTATAACATCTTTGCTGCAAGCCTGCATCAAGAACTGGGAGAATCGATGCATGTAATGTATGATACTTTAGCAACCTTACTCTCATGCTTTTCTTTCTTGTAGTAATAAACCTTTAGATTGTAGATTCTAAAGGATTGGCTCAGTGTGATTTGTGGGTAAGGTCCAGAGGGTAAATTGACTGGGAACTGTGGCTGGTTTCTTGGAACCAGACAGACCTTGTTCAGGGAAGGTGAGATTGGGCTCTAAGACCCCCCACCGGTGTATGAGGCCCGGGGCCATCTGGGGCACGGATATTGCTGGGGTGTCGGAGGGGTTTTGCTTGTGAGGCTTCAGGCAGGCAGCTGAAGTGCTGTGTGAGTCTGGTTTGCGACCTGTTTGGGAAGGTCTCCAGTCTGGGGGCTGTAAGGAGCCCCAAATTTGGGCAATTCGCCCTGAGCGAATGCCCTCAGCTGTGCCCAGACCCGGCTCGGTCTGTCACAGCTAGGTTTAGAAGATAAAATTTTAAAAGAACAAGTTAAAAATCGCTTAGAAAAGTTAGATGTCTGCAAGTCACCAGGGCCTGATGAAATGCAGCCTAGAATACTCAAGAAGCTGATAGAGGAGGCATCTGAGCCTTTATTCATCATCTTTGAAAAATCATGGAAGACAGAAGAGATTCCAGAAGTCTGGAAAAGGGCAAATATAGTGCCCATCTATAAAAAGGGAAACAAGAAGAACCTAGGAAACTACAGACCAGTCAGTTTAACCTCTGTGCCAGGAAAGAAAAAGGAGCATGTAATTAAGGAATTCATCTGGAAGATAATAAGATGATAGGTAATAGCCAGCATGGATTTGTAAAGAACAAATCATGTCAAACCAATCTGACAGCTTTCTTTGATAGGATAATGAGTCTTGTGGATAAGGGAGAAGCGGTGGACGTGGTATACTTAGACTTTAGAAAGGCATTTGATATGGTCTTGCACGGTATTCTTATCAATAAACTAGGCAAATACAACTTAGATGGGGCTACTATAAGGTGGGTGCATAACTGGCTGGATAACCGTACTCAGAGAGTAGTTATTAATGGTTCACAATCATGCTGGAAGGACATAAGTGGGGTTCCACAGGGGTTTCTTTTGGGACCAGTTCTGTTCAATATCTTCATCAATGATTTAGTATCAGAAGGGTAGCTGTGTTAGTCTGAATCTGCATAAACAACTAGAAGTCCTGTGGCACCTTATATACTAACAAATTTATTGGAGCACAAGCTTTCGTGGGCAAAGACCCACTTTGTCAGATGCATGTCATGTTCCAGAGGCAGGTATATTTATCATTTATACCTGCCTATTTATATTTATACTTGCTTCTGGAATTTCCACTACATGCATCTGACGAAGTGGGTCTTTGTCCACAAAAGCTTATGCTCCAATAAATCTGTTAGGGTATGTCTACACTTGCACCCTAGTTCGAACTAGGGATGCAAATGCAGGCATTCGAAATAGTCAATGAAGCAGGGATTTAAATATCCTGCACTTCATTAGCATGATCTCGCTGGTGCGTTACTCTGAATGCCAGCTGTTTCGAAAGTGAAAGTGTGCACTGGGACACGTTAGATTGAACCAAACCCCTTGGTTTGAACTAATGTTACTATGAGGAGCACTATGAGAAGTAACGTTAGTTCGAACCAAGGGGTTCAACGCGCACTTTCACTTTCGAAACAGCTGGCATTCGGAGTAATGTGCCAGTGAGATCATGTTAATGAAGCATGAGATATTTAATTCCCCGCTTCATTGACTATTTCAAATGCCTGCATTTGCATCCCTAGTTCAAACTAGGGTGCAAGTGTAGCCACAAGACTTCTTGTTGTTTATCAACGATTTAGATATTGGCATACAGAGTACGCTTATTAAGTTTGCAGATGATACGAAGCTGGAAGGGTTGCAACTACCGTGGAGGATAGGGTCATAATTCAAAATGATCTGGACAAACTGGAGAAATGGTCTGAGGTAAACAGGATGAAGTTTAATAAGGACAAATGCAAAGTGCTCCACTTAGGAAGGATCAATCAGTTTCACACATACAGAAGGGGAAGTGACTGTCTAGGAAGGAGTACGGCAGAAAGGGATCTAGGGGTCATAATGGACCACAAGCTAAATATGAGTCAACAGTGTGATGCTGTTGCAAAAAAACCCAAAACCAAACATCATTCTGGACTGCATTAACAGGAGTGTTACAAGCAAAACCCGAGAAGTCGTTCTTCCACTCTACTCTGCGCTGGTTAGGCCTCAGTTGGAGGATTGTGTCCAGTTCTGGGCACCACATTTCAAGAAAGATGTGAAGAAACTGGAGAAGGTCCAGAGAAGAGCAACAGAAATGATGAAAGGTCTAGAGAATATGAGCTATGAGGGAAGACTGAAAGAACTGGGCTTGTTCAGTTTGGAAAGGAGAAGACAGAGAGGACATGAGAGCAGTTTTCAGGTATCTAAAAGGGAGTCACAAGGAGGAGGAAGAAAAATTGTTCTGCTTGGCCTCTGAGGATAGGACAAGAAGCAATGGGCTTAAACTGCAGCAAGGGAGGTTTAGGTTGGACATTTGGGGAAATGTCAGTACTGTCTGGGTGCTGAAACACTGGAATAAGTTGCCTAAAGAAACTCCATCTCTGGAGATATTTAAGAGCAGGTTACATAGACATCTATCAGCGTTGGTGCTGGGTCCTGCCGTGAGGGCGGGGGACTGGACTCGATGACCTCTCCAGATCCCTGCCAGTCCTAGTGTTCTATTATTCTAAGTGATCCCTCCCCTGTCACTCATTCCCAGCCCCTGACACACAGAGGCTCAGGACACCCTGCCTGTCCCTCCTGGCTAAGAGCCATCGATGGACCTAACCACCATGGATTTATCTAGTCTGGATTGAATGTTCCAGCTACATGGGACCTGCCAAACTCAGAGGTGCCACAAATCCCATTGCAGATCCGCTGTGCGAGAGCCAGGTGAATCTCAGCTGTTTGCTTTGGAGGAGCTTGAATGGCCATTTCTAGGGTGGGCCCCTCTGGGGTTCACGACCCACAAGTTTTGCTCCGAGTTTCTGGTTCAGCTGTCAAACCTCAGAGGAATTCAATCAGCGTGTCTGGGTCTCCCCGTTTCACCTGAAACCACAAGTCCCGCGCAGTCTCCACGCATGGCTCTAAACCTCCAGAGTCCCCCAACCCGGACAGGAGACTGACATACCACGGGTCTATGGCCTCTTGCTAGGGCTTCATTGGAAGTGTCTCCCACAGCTCCAGGATTGAGGGTCAGTGCCTGCGTGGCCATGCGAGTGTCCCCTCTCCCGCCTTGCCTAGAACAGGGCGGTCTCGCCCTTTGGTATGGACAGAGCTTGCTCTGAGAAATGACAGTCCCTGCGGGTTACAAGCACTACACTTACTTTGTCCTTTAGGATGTAGAGAGCAACGGGATTCCTGCGTTCGTGTTCTCCACTGTGGGGGACAATCTCAGCTGCACGGAAACAACAAACAATGTTGGTGACATTTCTGACGAGGAGCTGGCGAAGGACCCTGTGCGCAGCCTGTGTCCGTCTGTCCACGTGTCTGTCCCAGCTGCTGCGCAGGGGCTAGAGCCCTCTTGGCCTTGCCTGGATTCTCGGAGCAGGATGGCGACCCAAGTTCAGGCAATCTGCCTTCTCCGCCAGCTCAGACTCCTGAGCTGGGTCACGGAAACGCTGCCCTTTGATTGTGGGACTGGCTTGCACTAGCTGGCAGGCAGAGGCTGCCAGCATGGAGCCACACGCCAGAGGGGTGAAAACGGGCCCCTGCGTGCTTGTGCTGCACAACAGAGCCAGAGTGGCCAAGTGCAGCTTCAGCTCCCGAGTGTCAGACCCAGCCTGCCTGGGGGCAGGAACCGGAGCTCACAGCTGTCGTTTAGGGCGCAGGAGCTGTGGGCGCAGCCTGTGGCATGGAGAACCCCCCACTCCCAGGCCCCACAGGAGAAAGGGGCCCAGGCACAAGCAAGGGAAACAGGAGGGTTTTGTTCAGATTTGTGGTCTGTGCAAAGTCAGACAGGAGCCGGGGGCTATGGAGGAGGGATTCAGCAACGTGAGGATTCCCTGCTGTGTTCCCTCCCTCTGGGGCACCGGGCATTGGCCCCTGGGGGCAGACCGGACTCCGGGCTGGATGGACCTTTGGGCTGACCCAGCCTGGCGGTGCTTATGCAAGCCCTTTCGTACCCCTCCCCCAAACGGCCATGACACAGCACTAGCCCTAGGGCCCCATCTGGCCTTTGGTTTCAGGCAGGTGGGCAGAGCCCCAGTGATGGAAAAGGGGCCACAAATAAGCAATGGGCTTGAGGAGTGAGAAACCAGAGAAATGTGGCTAGAGCACGGTGCCCAGAACGCCTGTGCTAGGAGCTCAGGGCTAGGGCTGGTTGGGGTTAGGGTTCGGGTTAGGATGGGTTAGGGCAGGTTAGGGTTAGGAGTGGTTAGGGTTAGGATGAGTTAGAGTTTGGATTGGTTAGACTTAGGACTGGTTAGGCTTGGGGTTAGGGTTTGGGTTAGGATGGGTTAGGGCGGGTTAGGCTTAGAGCTGGTTAGGGTTTGGGCTAGGGTTGGTTAGGGCAGGTTAGGGTTTGGGTTGGGTTGGTTAGGGTTTGGGCTAGGGTTGGTTAGGGTTTGGGTTGGGTTGGTTAGGGTTAGGGCTCCATGCTTGAACCTCCCCGTGCTGGAAGCTCAGGATTCCTAACTCCAAGAACACAAGAGGGAGAGGAGGCAGGAACATCCCCAGGGAAGTTGAGTTTGGCAAGGCAGGCAGGTGCCTCGGGCACTGTTAGGTTTCCCTCAGCAGCACAGCGTGGGCTGGGTTAGGTCCAGAGTCCGTTCGCCTGGCCCTGGGATGGGGCACAGAACCCAGGGCGGGCGGGTGCGGGCGTTTCAGCAGCACCTCGATTACTCAGGGTGACGACCTGATTAAAGCCCTTCCCACTCAGCCTGGCAGGGAAGGAACTGCCCAGGAGCGAGCCCTGTGTGCGGGAGTGTCGTGCCACCCACCTGAGCAGTGCCACGACGACCACTGCCCCACTGGGGCCCTCCTCACGTGAGCTGTTCCGCCGGGGGGG